TGAGCCACAGCGCCACTTCCGGCTTTTTTCTTTTTGCTTATGTGGTGCTGAGGAATCGAACCCAGGGCCTCTTGCATGCAAGGCAAACGCTCTACCACTGAGCCACCTTCCCAGCCCAGTCAAATGTTTTAATAGCTCTTTGAGAGGAAAAAATTTAGGAACTGGAGACAAATTTGATTCCTCTGTGTGTATGTGTATGTGTGTGTGTGTGTGTGTGTGTGTGTGTGTGTGTGAGAGAGAGAGAGCACGTGCACGTGTGAGAGCGAGCACATCTCCTCACCTAACAGAAGCTCAGCATCTATACAGTATGTGCTGGCTCTTTACTACATTGACAATATTCAGCCATTAAAGGGAATAAACATATGTATAAAAACAGAACATCCTGTTGGGCACCAGCAGAAGGCTGAGATCTGAGGATTGTGGTTCAGAGCCAGCCTGGGCAGGAAAGTCCATTGAGACTCTTATTTCCAATAAACCACCAGAAAACCAGAAGTGGTTCTGTGGCTCAAGTGGTAGAACTCTTGCCTTGAGCTGAAGAGCTCAGGAACAGCATTCAGGCCCAGAGTTCAATCCCCATTACTGACAAAAACAAAACAAAACAAAACAAAGGAACAGAATATCCCTACCAGGAAACAGATGATCCTGGTCCTCTGGTCCTTTATGCCTGAGTTTTTTTGTTTCATATAAACCAGCTCTCCCTTCACCTAACCTCCTCCAGGAAGTTATCCCAGGTGTACCATCTTAGTTGGATTGCTATCTAGCTATATTGCTATATAAAGAAGCCCTGAGGGGGGCTGGGAAGGTGGCTCAATGCTTACCTTGCATGCATGAGGCCCTGGGTTCAATTCCTCAGCACCACATAAGCAGAAACAGCTGGAAGTGGCACTGTGGCTCAAGTGGTAGAGCACTAGCCTTGAGCTGAAGAGCTGAGGGACAGTGCCCAGGCCCAGAGTTCAGGCCCCACAACCAGCAATAAAAAAAAAGCCCTTAAGGACATACCACTTTTTAATGCTATATTTTCTCTAGCAGACTGTGAGTTTCTCAGAGCTGGGGAACACATATCTGATTCATATTGTATCTCTCAGGGCCTAGTAGCAAAAGTCCCAAAGCACATGGATGTCACATGAATGCAACCTCAACTCGGTGACTATATCCACTTGTCTAAGAGCTTCAGAAAGGTGTACTGAGGCATTACTGTTCTTGCTTTTCACTTTTATTTTTGAACTCATGTCCTTGATTTAATCATCTCTTTTTTCACATTCTTCCTTTCTGAAAATCAGTTCTCATTCAGCTCCTTTCTAAGAACACCCTCCTTTTCTCTTTCTCTTCTTTCCCACCCCCCTCACTGCTTTTGTTTTTACTCAGGTTCTGGAAATGGAGCCCAGGCCTTGCATATGCAGGTCTATGCTCTATCTATCACTAAACTATACCCTTAGCTTCCCATTTTTTTTTTTTTTTGTCGGTCGTGGGGCTTGAACTCTGGGACTGGGCGCGGTCCTTCAGCTCTTCAGCTCAAGGCGAGCACTCTACCACTTGAGCTACAGCGCCACTTCCGGTTTTCTGGTGGTTTATTGGAGATAGGAGTCTCACGGTCTCTCCTGCTCAGGCTGGCTTTGAACCGCGATCCTCAGATCTCAGCCTCCTGAGTAGCTAGGACTACAGGCGTGAGCCACCAGCCCGGCTAGCTTCCCATTTTCTATCTGGGCAAACACTAATGTGTCTGAGGATGTAGCTTGGTGATAGAGAACAGGATTTTGCATGTGTAAGGCCCCTGGTTCAATATCTATAGCCTTGACCCCTCTTCCCCAAAATTAAACTCCTAAATTTGATTTCAAGGCTCTCTAGCTTCAATCCTTCAGTTCCCTCCTCTCTCTCCTATTTTAATTTAAAGAAATTCCTCTAGGTTGGAGATGTAGCTCAGCAGTAAAGCATTTGCATAGCATGCAGAAAGCATCATGAAAAAGCAAAAAGACAAAACAAAAACAACCTACTAACCAAAGAAATAAATGAATAAACAGAAAGGAAAAAAAAAGATCTGCTTCTGTACCCCAAATAAGCTTCGTGTGTGTGTGTTTCACTGTTATATCTTGACACATTTACATTATATTCTAATCAATTTTGCCCTGTATTACATTCCTTTTCCACATTCCCTTCCCTTCCATTTTGTTTAGTGCTTTTGTTCTTAGGGAAATTTTTTTGGCTGGTTATAGAATAAGTTTCATGAAGACAGAGATAATGCCTGTCTGATCCAACACTATTCTCCTGGAGCTAGTAACAAAATTGAACCTGGCACAATTAGTAATCGATAGCATCCAAGTAAGTAGAATTCAAGTATAGACTTGACTTTTCTAAACATCAAGAGCTGCTTAATGTATCTTGGGAGAAGTGGAAAGACCATGTTTTGTACTTAGTATCAATCACTTTTTCTACTTTTTATTGGTCAGTCGTGGGGCTTGAACTTGGCCTGAGTGCTGTCCCTGCACTCTTCAGCTCAAGGCGAGCGCTCTACCACTTGAGCCACAGCGCCACTTCCGGTTTTCGAGTGGTTTATTGGAGATAAGAGTCTCACGGACTTTCTTGTCTGGGCTGGCTTTGAACAGCAATCCTTAGATCTCAGCCTCCTGAGTAGCTAGGATTACAGGCATGAGCCACCAGCACCCGGCACTTTTTCTACTTTTGCATTTAAACAGTGACAAGTGAGCTCATTTATCCCCATGTATAATCAATCAATCAAATCTGTTTGTCTGTCTCTCTTTTTTTGGACAGGGAAAGGGGCTGTTCCTGATGCTTGAACTCAGGGCTTAGGTGCTGTTCCTGATCTTTTGTGCTCAAGGCTGATGCTCTATCACTTGAGCCACTGTTCCACCTCCATCTTTTTTAGTGGCTAACAGGAGATAAGAGTGTCACAGACTTTCCTGCCTGGGTTGGTTTTGAACTACAATCCTAAGATCTCAGCCTCCTGTGTGGCTAAAATTACAGGCATGAGCCATTGGCATTCAGTCTAATCAACATATTTGTTTGAGCAAAAATCACACCAAATTAGGACAAAATATGTTGATCAGGCTGATTTCTCAAAATTCTCCCAAGTTTAGCATATAAATATCCCAAGGTCTTAACTCTGGATCCTGATTCAGTAGGAAGGTGAAAGACTCAGGATCTATAGTTCAAAGTAAGTGCCCAGATGATTCATATGCTTAGGCAAGTTTTGGGAATACTTTCTTCAGAGTAGTCTCAACTTCTTTAGCTTTTTTTAAAGCTCATGCCAGGCACTGATACTTTCTTCAGAGTAGTCTCAACTTCTTTAGCTTTTTTTAAAGCTCATGCCAGGCACTGATGAGTTTAAGAAGGGAAAAGACACACACACACACACACACAGACACAGACACACACACACACACACACAGACACAGACACACACAGACACACACACAGACACACACAGACACACACACACAGACACACACACACAGACACACACACAGACAC